CCCCGCCAGCAACCCCGCAACCCCGCGCCCCGACCACCGACCCCCGCTGGGCGAACCCCAGAAAGGCCTCAGGGAAATGTCACTCCCTCCTGTGGATCTACTGCTGGTTCTCTCGCCTCTGAGCGGTAACAGGACCAATTGGCTGCATGGTGCAGGATTATCTTTCTTTCCTCTTTCTCTCCACCTCTCTTTGCTTAGCGACCTTGACTCCACAATTGTTGTAACTGATAAACTATTTTCAACTTGTGAGGAGAAGCACTGGCTATATCATGTGTGGATTTCTGCTTATTCTGTGTCTTCCCCCCCCCCTTTTTTCGTGTGTGTCAATTTTTCGTAAGATGCTTTGCTATTCCTTGCTTAGTACGACCAGGATGAGTGGACTCTCGCACCATGGATTCTGAGGGGTAAAAACGTTGTGGCAAGCAACCGAGAGATTTTTTTCGAAGGGGGTTAACTAGTTCCTTGCTGCATGTTTTTCGGGAACACAGACGCCTACCAACCTCTGTGATGCACCCTGCCTGATCCCTGACTTGATGCATGGTCCTTGCATGAGAACGAGTTCGCTGTTTTGTTTCACGAGCAGGAAGGACGAAACCACTGATGACCGATTTTTTTTATTTTTTATTTATTTTTTCTTATTTTGGGACGCAAGTACCCGGGGATCTGGCAAGATCCGTCACTATGATTCGTGCTATGAGAGACGCCTGATTGAGGATAGACCTTTATCCCAATCAAATAGAAAAAGCCGACGATGATCGAATCTTATTTTTATTTTTTATTTTATGCTTGAGCCGGAGGACGTGGTAACCCAAGGATCTGGCAGAAATGCGTGTGCCGAGCTTTGTCAGATCCATGGGTTTATGTTCTCTGACTAGCCCTTGTGTCCATTCAATAGACCCCCCAAAAGTATCACCTCGGTCATCTACCCGCCTGCGAGCCATCCCCCATAGGAAATTGCGATGAGGGAGGGTAATCACAAGTTGCGTCTTAATTTTTTGATCTTCTTCCTTCTGCCGTCTTTTTTCTTCTTTTTTCTTCCTTTGAGCAACGGATTGGGATTGATTGGGACACCCCTATCTACACCCACGATTACCCAAACTCCGTTGTCGACGATAGCCAATACTCTTTCGCGTATGATAGATAAGACTGCTATAGACTAGACTCGTCTGACGACTAACTGAGACTCCGGACCTGAAAGCATGCTCATTACCTGGGCACGATACCATAAGCCATGAGTCTGATTAAGTCCACCGCTGCTGGACCTATCAACCCCTTGGGTTATGGTTGTCGAACCCCGGCCCCGGGACCCCGCCGGGGTTCCGGGGTTCCGGGGGTCGGCACCCGGGACCCCGGCCCCCTGTAGGGGAAAAAAAAAAAAAAAAAAAAA